ATGTTATGTAGTCAAAGAATTTCAACACTTTTTTGGCACCAATTCCTCCCATCTGTAGACAATAATTAATAGTCTTATAATGGGACTGGTCAGATCTCATCTTTAAAAAAGGCAGTTGCAGCAACCAATACGGGAAATTGTGCAAGTTTCAGCCCGGGCCAATCCAACCCATTACGAGTATAACTAAGACAATGAGAACACAATAAATTTGAAACCTTTAAATCCAAGAAAAGAAGCAGAGATTTTTTCTTTCATTTTTTTGGGAGTAGTTCAGTCAAAATTAGTTGACCTAACGCTCTCTTGAACAAAATTCCAGTGAATCATGGCACAGCTGTTTGACTTTAAAGCAGAAGAAATACATTCACAAGTAAATAATGCAAAGTCATGGAAGAGATAAAATTTTCTAACTGAGCACTGTCATTTCATACCGCAAAACTCGAGTATTCTAAAAGGCACTCCACCATTTCATCTTCTTCTTTCTGCATGGAGGAGGGGAGAGAAAAAGGTAAAAAAGCTGTTCAAACTATATAATATCAATTTTAAATGCACAAGCAGCAATTAACTGAAACGATGATAGTTGAATCCTAAGAAAACCATTCCAAAATCATATATAGGCAGTTCATTAACAGAACAAAATCTGGGGCAGGACAAAATGTGGTCAAATAAAACAAAAGGTCTAGCGGATACATATATAAAACTTCAAACATTGAATACAACCTTGGAGTAAAGGTATTTCTGCAAGTCAACAAATTTTTCACCACTGGAGTCTCTGAGATTCACTATATAAAATGCGATACGTTTTGATGCTTTGCGACACCTACCATTGATTAATTTCTGCAGCAGAAGCATTTACAAGAAAAACTGAAAGGAAGCCTTCAAAGATAACTGTCTAAAGAAATACACAAGTGACGATGTGCATGAGGTATGTCATATATGAAATGTAGATTCGTTTGCAAAGTAATCACATAAAATTCGAATGTTAAGTATGTAAGAAAGAGTGGTAGTACTTTTGTTGAAAACGAGCAACAACTGACAACTACGACATCACACTTCTCAAAGAAATCAACACTGAAGCTTGACAAATCACCTGCAACAACAATTTACTCTTCTCAGCATTTCAATATTAGTTTCCATCCTAACATTTAGAATCAACATGAAGCATTATTCCAATGGATGGCAATGGTTATAGAGGATAAACAATAGCATGACTCACTCCAATATCCATCAAGTAATCATGTTGTGAACTAAACACCCAAGATGGATAATCAAATGTAACTAGGAGTGCATGACAGAAGTTAGGAAATACACCTATTAAATATAATTTAAACAAAATCATGCACAAATTTAAGCAGCATGTTTCCCTTATTGAACGTTAAGAACTTGTAAAACCAAGGAAGATCCATTCAACTGCTCTCTACTTACCAGAATATTCTTATCCTTATCCTTCTCCTTCTCCTTTCAATAAACAAAACCTAGATTAACACTGAGAAAACATAACTGCTAGCAAAATGCACAAGAATGAAATATAAGCATGCTCCTGCTTGTGCCCTGGCATAAATTCATACAAGCCGGTGTGGCGCTTGAACATACCAATAGCTACACTCTTACTCGAGTAGACAATATGAAACTTGGAGTGAGAAATATGACTTAATAAGATAAGCCAGCCATTCTCAAAAGGCATGCACAAAATTTCTTCCCTACTTTTAAATTTGTTTTCACTCATTAGTCAGCTAATAGCTATTCAAACATAAGATAGCAGATAAGTTAGACCAGCAGCCAACCTTTCTGACTATAGGATTGAAATCTTTCAAGGAATCACAACAAAGCTGTAGAATTTAATGAGATTGAATGTAAAAATGATGAACAATGAAATGTATATCGTGAGTTCTAATTTACAATGGAAGAATATGAAAAGCTTATATGGAAAGATGAGCAACGGTTGCCTATGTTCTCTGC